CTCGATTCCCGAGTTATAGCCAATTTTGAACCACGATCTCCGGGAGTACAGCGACGACGGAAGGTGGAAAACATCGATTTTTCTCTGCATTTTCCCGGAAAGTTTACACTCATAAAATCGACTCCATTTAACATAAAAATTTATAGTCGTTTGTCCGTGGATCTGAGACTATACAGACATTCTAGAGGCAAAAATAAGACGAAAATCAAGAATATCAATTTGTCGATCGAGGCTTCGTTAAAGAGTTATTAAAAAATTAAACTATTTCAAGCTATTCAAAAATTAAAATTTCAAATCAATCTGAAAAAATTATTTTTAGCTGCGGGGGTTCATAACAATCATTTTTTATGAATAGACATACCCTCGATATCCTACCCACTTTCGAGAAAAAAATTCGAGAAGGTATGAAATTTTTCGACCGGAAAAAAACAATTTCAAATTGATCTGAAAAAATTATTTTTAGCTAGGAGGGTTAATTATAATAATTTTTGGTCAATAGACATACCCCCGAATTCTTACGCATTTTTTAGAAAAAAAATCATTACTAAAAATATAATGTCTGACTACACATTGATATGTTTCCCTGAAAATTGAAACGTTTCAAATAATTCTGAAAAAATTATTTTTAGCTAGGAGGGTTAAAGAAATATTCAACGTATTATTGCGACTTGAATTACCATAATTCCAAGTTTGGTACAATTTTTTGTTAAATTTTTTTTTAATTATTACGGAAATATTCAACGTTGAAACTTGAGTTATCATAGTTCCAAGTTTGTTAAAATATTACACAATTAGAAAATTTATTGAATTTTTTTTTTTAATTATTACCAAGGTTAATTCTGGGTTTGTTTTTTCCATTTCTGACCGATTTATCGCATTCCTTCTCGCGTGATTTAAAGATTGTTGACGTGCCGGAGGCCCGAACGAGTATTTATCGGAGTGGGGGTCGCGTGGCAAATAAAAAGCGTGGAAATCGGGCAGGAATAATGCAGGAGATGCAAAATTAATCCGATTCCACGGCTATTCCCCTGAATTCGATTCCCGATTAATCGGATATTTCTCCGGAATCCTTCAAACAGTCTGCAGGATCACGATGGGAAGAGCCGCGGCATATTTCGCGCGGCAAATGTTCGCGGCTTCGGGAGATTTTTGCCCGCGCCGCGTTTTCGTTAATGGAATATTAAATAATCCACGCGCCCCGACGAAAAATGTTTACCAGCCCGCGCGAAACACGAATATCCTCGATTTTCGCGCGACACCAATGTTTTTTTCCCCCCTGTTCCACGAGTCTTTGCAACGGTTTTCAGCCACTGATTCGTAAAATGATCATCACTACACGGTTGATAACGTTCATACGCGGCTAGTTATTGTTTCGAGAAGTATTCTACAATGCTCAATTTTAATGTTAGTTGGAGAAAAATAGAGTAGAAGCCCGTTTATACTGATGATTCTTAAAATGAACATCGCGTTAGGGTTGATACGTTCATGGGGGGACAGCTGTTGCATCGAGAAGTATTCTACAATGTTCAATTTCAACGTTTGTTGCGATAAAATAGAGTAGAAGCCCGATTATAGTGATGATTCTTAAAATGAACATCGTTCCAAGATTGATACGTTCAATTGGGATCGGTTATTGCATTCGAGAATTGCTCGATGATATCCAACTTCAACGTTTGTTCGAATCAAATACAGTAGAATTCTATTTGTAGTGATGTTTCGTAAAATGAACATCGCTTCAAGATCGATACGTTCATACAAGACCAGTTGTTCCGTCAAGAATTATTCTACAATTCTCAATTTTAACGTCAGTTTGAATAAAATAGAGTAGAATTCCGTTTATAGTGATGATTCTTAAAATGAACATCACTTCAAGATTAATACGTTCATTTGGGATCGGTAATTGCATCAAGAATTGCTCGACAATGTCCAACTTCAACTTTTGTTCGAATAAAATAGAGTAAAACTCAATTTACAGCGATGATTCGTTAAATGATCATCACTACACGGTTGATACGTTCGTACGAGACCTGTTATTGCGTCGAGAAGTGTTCGACAATGTTCAATTTCAACGTTTGTTGCGATAAAATAGAGTAGAAGCCCGATTATAGTGATGATTCTTAAAATGAACATCGTTCCAAGATTGATACGTTCAATTGGGATCGGTTATTGCATTCGAGAATTGCTCGATGATATCCAACTTCAACGTTTGTTCGAATCAAATACAGTAGAATTCTATTTGTAGTGATGTTTCGTAAAATGAACATCGCTTCAAGATCGATACGTTCATACAAGACCAGTTGTTCCGTCAAGAATTATTCTACAATTCTCAATTTTAACGTCAGTTTGAATAAAATAGAGTAGAATTCCGTTTATAGTGATGATTCTTAAAATGAACATCACTTCAAGATTAATACGTTCATTTGGGATCGGTAATTGCATCAAGAATTGCTCGACAATGTCCAACTTCAACTTTTGTTCGAATAAAATAGAGTAAAACTCAATTTACAGCGATGATTCGTTAAATGATCATCACTACACGGTTGATACGTTCGTACGAGACCTGTTATTGCGTCGAGAAGTGTTCGACAATGTTCAATTTCAACGTTTGTTGCGATAAAATAGAGTAGAAGCCCGTTTATAGTGATGATTCTTAAAATGAATATCGTTCCAAGATTGATACGTTCATTTGGGATTGATTACTGCATCGAAAATTGTTCGACAATGTCCAACTTCAACTTTTGTTCGAATAAAATAGAGTAAAACTCAATTTACAGCGATGATTCGTTAAATGATCATCACTACACGGTTGATACGTTCGTACAAGACCTGTTATTGCGTCGAGATGTGTTCGACAATGCTCAATTTTAACGTCAGTTGGAATAAAATACAGTAAAATTCTATTTACATCGTTGATTCGTTAAATGAACATCACTTCAAGGTTAGCTCGTTCATTTGGGATCGATTATTGCATCGAAAATTGTTCGACAATGTCCAACTTCAACGTTCGTTCGAATAAAATAGAGTAGAATTGTATTTGTAGTGATGTTTCGTAAAATGAACATCGTTCCAAGATTGATACGTTCATTCAGGATCGACCATTGCATCCAAAATTGTTCGACAATGTCCAACTTCAACGTTGGTTCGAATAAAACAGAGTAAAACTCAATTTACATCCATGATTCGTTAAATGAACATCACTTCAAGGTCAGCACGTTCATTTTACGATACAACAGTGTCGAAATTCGACACCAATAGATACTTAGACGTGTTTCTCGACGCAAAAGCATAAAAATTCGCAAGGCTATCGAGAATCAAAGAGGGAAACACGCGTGCATATGGTTCGCTACCCTGCAAGGTTACGTTCTTTCGTTGGATTCGCGTGAAATGCACGTTTCTCTAAAGAGGTCCTATTTCGAGTACATTCAGGGTCGAGATAAAGGGGAATGTTTAGTACATGCCAAGTATGAAGACACGGTACATACATTCGCGTAGAAAAAAGGGACGAGTTTCCGGGTTCGTGGACCACAGTGTAGTATATTATTCCTCGAGCTGGCGGATGCCGTTAAAAATGCATGGACCACTCAACTCGAACCGGAAGCACACCGGTTATCCTGCCATCCGGCTCCAAAAGGGTGAATTCCTTAATGAACACCGCGATATGTTTAGCCCCGCCCCCCTTTTCCTTCGTCTATTACCGTGAACCACGAAAATTCATTCATCATGGACAAAATATGGTTAAACAATCTCAAACGATACACTTTTCTGTCTTTGAATTGAGAATTTTTTATTAATAAAAATAACTAACAATATTGTGATGTGACTTCTGTCATATAAAAAAATATTATTTTTTTTGCAAAATTGTTTAAATATAATTTAAATTGTACTCCTATATTTCTATAGTGTTATTATAAATAATAATTATTATCTATTAATATTAATAGATAATAATTTAATTCTCAAGTTAGCCTATTTCAAACTCTTCCTCTGAACAAAGAAGGTTAACAAATAATAATTTAATTCTTGAGTTGAATTTAATTCTCACAATTTAATATTTAATAATTTAATAATTTAATTAATTCTTTGATTAGTTTTTAAAATTCCGAATGGAAAAACGAAGGTCTAAGCGTCATGAAATTCTAATGGATCATAGTTGGTTGGATCCCAGACTTCATGATAATAGGGACGATAATATGGCCTGTCCCCTGATTTTAATCGATTCATTAATCGACCGTCAAAGCATCGTAATTAATCGGCGGAGAATCAGCTAGCTGGGTTCCGTGCGTACCGCGACACGCGAATTAATTCAATAATAACGTCCGACTCGTTACATAATGCAGCCTGTAATTGTAATTTGTAATTTGTAATTCCGTAAGTGTGTAATCCGATCCCCCCCCCCCACGGTGTTTCCTTATTATGAATTTGCGATGCAAAATTACACGCGTTTGGATACGCGATCGCGCGGCGGCCCGTGTGATACGATTACAAAACAAAATTCCATGCAAGTTGCCCGGCGAGATCTGCAACTTTCGTCGAATAATTTGTTCTTGTTTTTGTTTTGTTTCGACGATGAAACGTAACCACCAGCGGGGGGTTTATAACGCTCGAATTTCGCGCGAAAACAGATCGTATTTCTCTCCCATTAACGAAATTAAACTATTCTGTTTCGTCAAATATTAAATATTCTGGAAATTCAATGAAATACTGCGATGATTCGTTAAATGAACTCCTGGGTGAATTTTCTTCTAGAAATTGGGTAGGATTTCGAGGTTATGTCTGTTCACCAAAAATGATTGTAATTAATGATTTTAAAAAAATTCAATAAATATTGTAACTGTGTAATATTACAATAAAAATTGAACTATGATAATTCAAGTTGCAACGTTGAATATTTAACAAATTTAACAAAATATTGTAACTGTGTTTCGTTCGTCAGAGAATAAAATATTCGGTATTGGACAGTGGCGGCACACCTTGTCCCTCGATCAGAAGTTGTCACTCACCTGATAGAGCACGTCCAGAGAAATTGGGTAAACCATCTGTTCCACGATGACTCTGAGAACCGTGTTCGGACCCCCTTGGGTCTCCCCTTGCGTCTGAGCCACCTGATTCTGTCCAGGAAGTGCAACCTGGTTGTTCGAGTTCTGCAACAGAGAGGAAAAAAGGAAAGTTAGTTTCGTGAATAACGATTTCGAGGCTGAACACATCCTACGAACTCCGACGATGTTAAAATATTTATTCCCGTGTACTCCATACGCAATTTTAGTCGAAAATATTGCGATATTTACCTTACTATTATTTAAATCAGAGTCGAGAATAAATAGTACACAAGACCTCCATTTTGTTAACATTTATAGATTTATATAACACTATAGATACTCAGAAATTTTTTAAATATTAAATTTTCATTATTATCTATGATACAAATGTAATTTTGATCCAATTAACTGTTGATTACCACCATAGCATGATGGTAGAATGCGAGTCTTCCACCCAGTGGGCCCAAGTTCGATTCCCCCATGACCACAAAAGTTTTTTCTCTCAATATAAATAAAAATTCAAACATAAAACTAACTTAAATCATACAATGGTGATAATTGACAATTTATAAATAAAAATTATATTTATAAATAACAATGAAACTTTAATAATATTAATATTTAAAATATTACAGAGTATCTGCCTCTTATAACGTTATATTAAATATTCTTAACTTGGATAACTGGATCTACAAGCGTGCAAGGACAAGATTGTGTTAGATATTTAATTAAATCACGCCTAGTTTAAACACAAACAATATAATTTGACGACTCCAACGTCCACAAAGGCTATCAACGACATCCAAGTCCCTATCGTTCTCATCAGCTGTTGCTGCATAGTAAACTGCGAAAGCAAACTCGAGAGACAGACCGATTACCATAAAATGCTAAAGAAACGGGCTTGCATTAGAATTTCGGACGCGGATTAAAACGACGGGAAAGTCTTCCGGAAGTCGCGCGAAAGAGGAGCTTGTTACGGAGCCAGAGTTTCCCCAAACGATATCTTTGCTTCGAGGCAGATCGATCCAACTCTCTCAAAGAATATTCTATTTAATACTTATAAAACTGTTACAGCCTCCTGGGAATAGCAGAGGTTTTAAGAAATCATTTTTGTATATTAACATTTTATAGGATTCCCTTGCAAATGAAATTTTTAATAAAAATTCTATTGTCTCTGAAACTGCAATATTTTGCATATTGCTTTCAAGGTATATGAATTTTACAATATATTGTCGTTAATTTAAAGCGTATTGCAAACAATTCAAACAGTCAAATTTTATCAAATTAATTTCGTAAGAAATATTCCAATTTTTTTTTTTAATTTTTGATGGAAGAATTGGAAAGTTTTTTAACGTGGAATAATTTCGACAATTGTTTGTTGCTCGCGACTAAAATGGGAATAAGGTCGTGGTAATTATATTTTAAGAAAGAAGTCACGGAATATCTGCGTTTTATTATCGAACTTCAACTCGTTGGTACTGAATTATCCATAATTTTCTGTCACTTTCGACATACTTCGACGAGTCGACTGCCATGTAACCCGTCGCTCATTCTAATTTTATACGAATGGTCTACGTGATCACCAGACGGGCTCCATATTTTGCTACGTGGACCTGGCCAACTTCGAAAGTGAATTAAATTTGTCCTGAAAAGATGCTCGTCGAAAATTCTGCTCCATTAATATCCTGGCCCAGTCTTTCTTTAATGCAATCCTTGTATATTAAATAATATACTTGTTGTATCCTCTGAACAAACAATTTTTAAAGGAAACAATATAAATGAATTTTTTTTTATTAATTATTTATTCAATTTTATTAATATTTATTGATCAAAACATTTTTTTCTTATTATGTATTTAGATAACTCTGTTTTGTGATAAACTAAGGAAAATAAAAATTCTTAAAGTGAATAATAATATATAAAATTTGATAATGAGAAAAATATTTAATTTGAAATAAATATTCAATGGTCAAATTATTTTTTTTTCTTATGATGTATTTAGATTACTTTATTTTGTGATAAACTAAGGAAAATAAAAATTCTTATAGTAAATAATAATATATAAAATTTCATAATAATAATAATAATTTAATTTGAAATAAATATTCACATTGTTCAAAACATTTTTTTTTTTTATTATGTATTTAGATTATTCTGTTTTATAATAAACTAAGGAAAATAAAAATTCTTAAAGTAAATAATAATATATAAAATTTCATGAGAAAAAAAATATTTAATTTGAAATAAATATTCATTGATCAAATTATTTTTTTTTATTATTATGTATTTAGATTATTCTATTTTGTGATTATCTAAGGAAAATAAAAATTCTTAAAATAAATAATAATATATAAAATTTGATAATGAGAAAAATATTTAATTTGAGATAAATATCGCATTGATAATGAATGCATAACTTAACAAAATTTAATTTAATTCGGTTTGGAGGGGGAAAAGTTTTGTAAAATGGCTCCCACCATCGCGAAAGGTTTTGATCTATTAAGCTTGGGGGGAGCCCTGGATCGATCGTCGCGACGCAAAGTGGCCGATTGAATTTCAATATTAATCGAACAGTTAGCGAACGTTGTTTCGACGCGGACGTTCATTCGGCCTATTAAAAATGCAACGGGTCAAAATTGGCTCTCGCCAGAGAAAACAATACCATTAAACGTCGCTCTATGTTCGTTGCAGCGCGTTTGAAGGGAACGGCATTTTTGCGTTGGTAAAAGGGTTCAGGTTGCAAGTTGTTTAGAAAGAACTTTGACACGCGCGAATACGTTTCTTGCGATTAGAAACACTATTTATATACTATAAAATTGTTATTTTTTTGTTTCTATATTTTATAATAAACTTTCAAATTAATTATATCAAAAATGTTAATTGGTATTTTAGTTTAGAATTGACGCAATAAAAAATGATTTTTGTTTGTTTGTTTCTATACTTTATAATTGACTTTTACATTAATTATATAAAAAATGTTAATTAGTATTTTATTTTAGAATTGACGTAATAAAAAATGATTGTTTTTTTTTTGGTTTCTATATTTTATAATAGACTTTTAAATTAATTACATAAAAAATGTTAATTAGTATTTTATTTTAGAATTGACGTAATAAAGAATAATTTTCTTTTTTTTGTTTCTATATTTTATAATAGACTTTTAAATTAATTATATAAAAAATGATAATTAGTATTTTATTTTAGAATTGACATAATGAAAAATGATTTCTTTTTTTTGTTTCTAAATTTTATAATAGACTTTCATATTAATCGTATAAAAAATGTTAATTAGTATTTTATTTTAAAATTGACGTAATAAAAAATGATTTCTTTCTTTTGGTTTCTATATTTTATAATAGACTTTTAAATTAATTATATAAAAAATGTTAATTAGTATTTTATTTTAGAATTGACGTGATAAAAAATGATTTTTTTTTTTTGGTTGATTTATTTTTTGAGGTGACTGTATCTTTTGACATTTTCGAAACGAGTATTCCTATGTAGCGTATCAATTATATAAAAAATTGTCAATTAGTATGATATTTCATTTTAGCTTGATATAATTAAAAATGATTTCGTTAATGTGTCAATTGTATCTTTTACAAAAATTGTTTTTACTATGTTTTTTTTGTTTAATATTTCATCATACATTTCCACATTAATTATATAAAAAATGTCAATTAGTACTTTATTTTAGCTTGATATAATTAAAAATGATTTTGTTAATGTGTCAATTTATTTTTCGAAGCGACTGTATCTTTTACAAAAACTGTTTTTATTATGTTTTTTTGGTTCTATATTTCATCATACGTTTCCACATTAATTATATACAAAATGTCAATTAGTACTTTATTTTAGCTTGACATAATAGAAAATGATTTCTTTACTCTGTCAATTTATTTTCTGAGGTGACTGTATTGTAAAACTGTTTTCAATGTTTTTTTTGGTTCTGTATTTCATGATACATTTCCACATTAATTATATAAAAAATGACAATTAGTTATTTTAGCTTGACATAATAAAAAACTGAAAAATTAAAAATAAAAATTACTTTTACTCTGTCAATTTATTTTCTGAGGGTGACTATTGCAAAATTGTTTTCAATACTCTTTTATTTCATGGTACACTTACACATTAATTATATAAAAAAAATGCCAATTTTATTTTTTCTATGTGCCAAATTACATATACTTTGACACTTTACCGACCGGTAGCGGTTGATTAATCGGCTATCGGTCGGTAAACGCCGACCGATAAAACAGTTGATTAATAGGCTATCGGTCGGTAAGCGTTGGCCGGTAAAACAGTCGATTAATAGGCTATCGGTCGGTAAAGTGTTAAATTTCTTTCTAATATTTTAGTTTCTTCTTCATGATACATTTCCACGACGATTCCGCGAAAGACAATATGGTGGATTTACGGAGGTCGACAATTACACGGTCATTACGAGCAATTTCCGGGTCCCTTTGTACCCCCTACCCCTCCACCCTCCACCTTCCCCTCTCTGTAAGAATCGTCGCGAGGTAACGTTACAACTTACTCCCAGCTAACACAATACATCGCTAAGTTTACTGTTTCTGCAATCCATCCGGCGCTGCTTACGCCGCCGAACACGTTCAAGTTTTACTCGCTGGAAGTTTCCGGCTAATGGATTCGAGCATACGTGCCGGAAAGTAGTTCCAGCGAGTTTCGTAGCAGCCACTGCAATGAAACAACAGCTGCCAACGGTTCTGTCCCCACCCCTGTTATTAAATTAAACAATCGCCCGATGTTTTTAGCGTTCGAGCGCGTGCATCCCCCCCGCCAGACATTTTCTTTTCGACGCGTCGTCGTTCTTTAACGTCTTTGGGGCACGCGAGGGGGGAACACGGGGGACACCTGACCCCTGTCGACTCGTTTTTTAAATGGTCAAAGTTGGTTTGTTGACTTAAGTCAATTTGAGTCATTTGAAATTTGATATATTTTGCAATTTTATTTTTTAAATACGTGCATTAGTTTTGTGATTTTGTGTTTGTATATCTTGAGTATTTTTAGCAAAATAATTATGCTGAATTTTGTGAAAGCAATTTTTTGTAAAATGATTTGGTTTTTTAAATACTCAAAGT